GGCACCATCTTTGTATCATCCTAAATTAAGCAGGAAAGGGAGCTGTCTGTCCATTTGAATTTTAAGCTCTGATCTTTCCATCTTATCTCCCCAAGTATCTGCAAACAGACGACCTACAGAAAGGCAGAAAATATTTGCATACTATATATCCAACAAAGGACTAATATCCAGAATCCACAGGAACTAAAACAAATCAGCCAGAAATAATAATAATAATAATAAAATAATAATCCCATTAAAACGTGGGCAAATGACATGAACAAACATTTTTCAAAAGAAGATATAAAAATGGCCAACCAACATGAAAGAATGTTCAACATCACTAATCATGAGGGAAATGCAAATTAAAACCACAAGGAGATACCACCTACCACTTTGCCCCAGTCAGAGTGGCCATTATTTAAAAAACAAAAAACAGCAGGTGTTGGTGTGACGCAGTGAAAAGGGAAGGCTTATAATACACTGAACTTTATATAAGCTATATGAATTACTATAACCTCTACGAAAAACAGTATGGAGATTTCTCAAGAAACTAAAAGTGGATCTAACACTTGATTCAGTCCTCCCACTACTGTGTATCTACCCAAAGGAAAACAAGTCATTCTATCAAAAAGACACCTGCACTTCTATGTTTACTGCAGCACAATTACAATTGCAAAGCTATGGAATCAACCTAAGTGTCTATCAACTGATGAGTGGATAAAGAAAACGTGGGATACATATACCACGGAACACTACTCCACAATAAAAATAATGAAATAATGTCTTTTGCAGCAACTCAGTTGGAACTACAGGCCATTATCCTAAGTTAATTAACTCAGAAACAGAAAACCAAATATTGCATCTTCTCACTCACAAGTAGAAGCTAAGCTGTGGGTACCCAGGGTCATACAGAGTGGTATAATGGATACTGGAGACTCAGATGAAGAGTGTTGGGAGGAGGGTGAGGGATGAAAAACTACCTATTGGGTGTATGTACACTATTCAAGTGACAGGTACACTAAAAGCCCAGACTTCACCACTATACAATTCATCCATGTAACCAAAAACCACTTGTACCCCTAAATCTACTGAAAAAAATTTTTAAGTGACCAAAACAAATTTCCAGATCTCTGACGCAAGCCCTGTTCTGGAAACAAACGTAAAAACCCACATCTTTAGGTTGAGCGCAGTGGCTCACACCTGTAATCCCAGCACTTTGGGAGGTCGAGGTGGGCCTGGCGGATCACCTGATGTCAGGAGTTCGAGACCAGCCTGGCCAACAGGGCAAAAGCCCGTCTCTACTAAAAATACAAAAATTAGCTGGGCATGGTGGCGGGCACCTGTAATCTCAGCCACTCAGGAGCCTGAGGCAAGAGAATCGCTTGAACCCGGGAGGCGGAGGTTGCAGTGAGCTGAGACTGCGCCATTGCACTCCACCCTGGGCAACAAGAGCAAAACTCTATACCAGAAAAGAAAAAAAAAAAAAAACTACATCTTTCAGAGAAGTTAGAATTCTCAGCACCTGAAAAGGAGAGACATAAAGGAGGAAAAGCTGGAAGAAGGTACTCAGATTTGACAAATTTCAGTTTTAGTCAATTTTTTTAGGGATGATCTCAAATAAATGTGAGAGAATGGGCTGGAAAGTAGCAGAGGCAACCAGGGTAGAGCAATGGAGAGAACTATGTTTTTATCAATCCCTGTCACTTCCCAGGATAGAAAACCCAATGTACCATTTGTGACGTGCAAGATGAATTACTCCTATCTTGTTATGACGTGAGTTTACAGGAGAATAATTCTTACCTGTAACAGACAACGATCTTGGAAAGTATATCCTATCAACTTGTCCAAATGCATTAGGCATTGGTGGTAGCGGATATGATGGGTCAGAACAGGTAACATCATTGCATGCTAGAAAAAAAAAAGTATTCAATATGTTTAACTTTATAAAAACTCATAAAGTCACTTCATTTGTTTTACAACAAGTCGGAACCATTTTCACATTCCAAATTCCATCTCACTAAGTCCTCAAACAGCTTATTGGCTTCATGGCATTC